CCTTACACAAAAATCCTCTCAAAGTGCTTAATATGCACTATACCCCAATCACACAATGCAAAGCTTAGAATGTTTATATTGTTATATGGGTGGGCTTGATATGAATACCACTAAAAATACATTTTGTAATAAAACTATTTTTAAATTTACAAAAATTTTACTTGGAATTTGCTTTCTCTTAAAGGGTTCGCAAGAGGTTTGTATCGGAGGGAGATGGTGGTCGTTTCAAGGAGACGTCCTAAGGTGTTACTACGATAGAGGGCGCTGTAGAGACCAGTAGGTGGATGCAATTCTTTGCATTGTCACACCAGGTCTATACCAAGATTTCAATTAATTGTAGTGGTTTTGTTCGGAATAGATTTCAATTCAGTATTCTTTTAAGAGATAAAAATTGTCTGTATTAAGATTACTTTAAGCAATTTTAACCTTACATTGTGCATTAATATTGAGACCTGGTGAAAATAAATGAATTATGATTTTGAAAAACAAATTTGTGTTTGGAAGATGTAAATGATACTTAGGATATGTGATACAACACATTATTACTAGAACAGTTTTACACATGTTAGCTTCCATTATCAAGAAGTGTTATTATTAAATGAGTGTAATTATCAAATTATTAATAAGTGTACCATGGTGTTTTAAGGATTTCATACTTTTCGTGCCAGGTACTTATAGTGGAATCATTATCAAAATAGGATTAAAAAATGTTGATGTCTAAAATATGCTAATTTTATGAATTGATATAAAAAATTGAGATAGTCTTAAATGGAACAGGGGTTTTTTGGTGGCATCTGATTTTGTTTGCACCATTTAAATATTAAGCTAACATATTATATAAGTTGCTTTGAATTTTGGAAGTCCACTTACTGTAGCTTCCCTCATTCAGTTATTTGTTTTGTTAAAGGCCAAGTACCTTTTTATTTCTGTGCCTGTAGATTATCCCAGGCATTTTATTCCCATAGATAGTAAGAACAAATGTCCATGATAACTTCCTTTGTGCAAGTGCTTAAAGTGGGTGAACCTCATGATTTTGCCTAGATAAAAACTTATTTTCTTATTTGCTGTGATTTTAATTGGTATATGTACAACAGAAACATGAGGGGGTAATATTTAACCAACCAGAAATCAAACAATTTAGTTCAGTATTCTGGAGAACTTTTTCTACAATAGTAAATGAACGCAAATTCTAGTTTTGAAGTTCTATATTTTTGTTTTTTGTAAGAGATGTTTGAGAACAATAGAAATAAAAGGATGTTTCATGATATTTTTAAGTAAAAATATGTAAAGAAGTTCATTTCCTTATTCTTAGTCTAAGCCATTGTAATTATTTAGCAGGAAACTAGACAGTTTGGCAACTTGATAAGAGAACCTTGATTTTAATGATTGCTAGCGCCCTCTATTGAATTAATCTAGCAACAAATCGTTAGTGAATTTGAATACTTTGTTTTGTTATTATCCCATGTAAAACTATGATAATATTGCACATTAGTACATTTAGTTTTAACCTTTGGCCTTTTGAAGAATATTCAATGTATGGAGGATGAGTTTAAAAAGAAAACAGAAGGAATGCTTGGACAACTACATTATAGAGTTTAAGGTTTGTGTACACAACATGTAAAAAAAAAAAACTTTTGAGAAATAACAAACAAAAAAATTGAAATTGAATGTGTTTGTTTTATTTGTTTTTGCTGGAGTAAACACAACAGCATGAAAGTCACAACAAATAATTATTATCATTGAAGAATTTAATAATCGTAAAAACCATTAAAAATTTTCAGTAATTTTACAGTTTTCGGCTAGTTTGACTCCCTGTGAACCCTACCAGGGATTTTTATTCCAGGACCCTGACAGAGGCTCTAGTTGGCCCCTTGGTTCAGACCTCCTGCTGGAGAATTCCTGCAACCACTGCCGTACCAGGTACCCACTGGGGTAGGGAATATGAATAAGATGCCTTTTTCAAGGACACAACCAAAATGCACAGTGAGGATTCAAAAGCCCGACCTCAACTGCTGTGCAAACACTCCAAAAAATAAATTTTTATTTTATTTTATTCATTCTGAAGTTTAAAAAGAGAACAACTAATCTACTGTGTCCTAAATAAAACTATAAACAGAATAATTATGATGGCGTGTTTTTTTTTTTGCGTCAGAAGAAATAATGCCCTACCTGACATGTAAGAGTACTAAATGCGCAGTACATTCTCAAGTGATTTAGGTAAAAATCGAACCCACAACCACTGAGCTTGTGCTTGGTGGCTAGTGATGAATCCGATCCCCAAGTAGCAGTAGGTACTGCAATGCTATTCAGATGTCGTACTCCTGATGCAAAAAACATGTTAGGATTTTATTTTAAGTTCATGTGAGATTTTGATTATTTTAGGGTGAAAAAATACCAGAATGAGCTACATAAATACGGTTATAAAAAAATTTATGAAGTGTAGATTGATAATTTTTCAAAAAAAAGGACCCAGTTGAAGCAAATGGAATAAAAAAAAAGAAAAAAAAAATCCTGTTTTGGTAATTGTGCCTTCTGTTGAGGAAAAATGTGCCCAAAAACTTTTATTTTTCATTATGAAATATCCTGTCTCAAGCAGATTGAAGAATTTGCTTTAGGATCTTTTTTTGTAACATTCACTGGAACAGTAAACAAAATGCCTTGCATGTGACATGTCCCAGAAGCTTCACAATAGTAAACTTTGACTTCAAACTTGATGGTACCATGGAAACCAAGCAAATCATCAGCGACTGCCAAGGTTGATGATGGTTGTTCAAGAATATTGTCAAATTTTGTCTTTTGTTGTTGAAACGCTGATTTTACTTGTTTTCCAGATGAATCTAAAGTCATAAGAGGAAATCGCAAGAAACGATGACATGATTGATTGCTAACAACATTGTAATGCAATTTCCAAATGTATTATACAGTATTTCTGTATTAAGCCAAGAAGAACTTTAAAAAAATGGAACTGCTTACGTATATATAGGTCCTTAATATTTCAAATTCAAGATTAAATTTTCCTTGCCAACTGTTTGTTTATCATTGGATGTTATTACACATTTGATTCTGAATTGCAGGTGCATGCATCTGCTGCTAAATTGTGTCCATTTGTACACATATCTGCCGTGCAGATGTAACACTCCCTAAGTTATTCAGCAAGGTTTTCTGCTTTGTATGCTTGTAGGACAGAGGCTTTTAACAATTTACTTTGTGGCATTGTACATACATTCATTAAGGACGTATTCGCTTGTGTGAAGACAATGGATATCTTGGTAGAAATCAGTGGTGGATCCAGAAATTTGAAATAGATGGGCCCCCGGGAAGTACTTTCATAGATGGGGGTCTAGACCAGAAAATGTATGTTTATGGCACCGCTATGTCCAGAAATGGAACTTAAAAGACTAAAGTTTGAATATAATTTTCTTTTATTCTCCTTTTTTTTAAAAATAATTTTGAATAACTTAGGTGGCCCCACCCCACCTTTAATCAGCCATTGGAAATATCTTGGCAAGTCTGTGTACTACATATTTTATTTTAACTGAATCTGATATTACAGCAGTTACCTTCAGTGTATGCTTGCCATACACATGGAGCGCCCTCTGTTAACGTGCAGTCTTTTGGGAGATGCACATCCAGATGAACTGTGAGGTCGGAGTTGACATGAAGATTCACTGTCTCTAACTGATTGACTATGGTGCACTTCTTGGAAAGAATACTGTCCACATTGGTCTCATCTTGCGAGGAGGAAGACTTTGTGTCAGATTGGTCAGGGCTGGTAATGATATTTAACTGCAAAAATTCAATAGAATACTCCTAATCTTGAAATTTAGAATATACTCAATCTCAGCTGAACATATTTACATAATTTCCCTTCAATTCAAGTCCACCTTTGGGGCCTGAATATTTGGGGTGTGGAATTTATCAACTGAATTTGTCTCTCTTGTGAAACTTGTGAAATATAATATTTCATAGGAATTATTTCAAATCTGTTAAGAAAATGATTCTGACTGAGACTTTGACAATTAAACAAATATATCTCAGGCCTACTCGATCGATCGCAGTGTGCGAGATGCGAAGTACAAAAACCAATTTCATTAGAGGGGGTGCACTTTACTGACTGTATAAAGTATACATAATAGTGAGAGCATTCCAACGAATGCGATCTACAACCTCCGAATTCGCCTAGTAACGAAGAATTCGTTGAGAAAATGGTAATCTCCTATGAGAAATAGTCTGAATTTCTCATTTTTTTTATTCTTTTGCGTAAAACTAAAATTTATGCCATTAATTTTCCATTGTTTATAATAAATAGAGTATATGCATTTTTTCTAAACAAAATTCTTTTTAGTGAAATTTTGACAGGGATGGGGCTATAAATTAATTAGTTACCTATTTCATTTCCATTGTTTCTTGTTAATGTATTGAAGGCTTATAATGATCAGCTCCGGCTGGATGGACCCCCCTCACAAAATATTGTTGAAAGAAAGGGAGGATGGATGGATGGATGAATAAATAACATTCACTAAACCAAAGCAATTTATTATTAAGACAATAGTTTATACAACATTCATTATGCACTATTATACAATCCACAACAATTACCAAATGGCTGGTGACATAAGGACAAAAAAAAAAATTGTTGTGTTGCCCTTAAATGGAAAAAAATCGAGATCGACAGTCGGTCGGTGGGATTTTTTTTTTTTTTTTTTTTTTTTAGTAATACCTGAAATAGGATAGGCCTAAAACTGCAGTCCCTATTAACGAAGGCCTAAGGGCTCGTAGGTTGTAGGCACCACAATAGAACAATGGCAAGCTTGACAAACAAAAAGTATTCAAAGTAATAACGGAATAAATACTAACCTAGTGTATATTGAAATAAATTTAACAAAAATAAATCAGTTTAAAGAAAGATTTATTTGGCTTCGAAACGTAAAATAATATGTGTATCCGATCCACAAGTACAGGCAGGTCGAGCAAAACCATACTGTGGCTATGAAAAATATCTAAACAAGCACCCTCTATGTAATACAATCAAAGTAAACTTGGAGAAAAAAAGAGAAAAAATATTTCGTTTATGGTTGGCCTCTTAACAGAGCTGAAAATGTCTAGGCAGGCGCGGACCCAGCGGGGGTCTCATGAGGGCCCTTGCCCCAGCCCCCCCCCCCCCGGTCGGTCAAGCCGAAAAATAAAAAAGAGGGAGGAAATTTGAGTTAAAGAGAGGAAAGGGGGGAAAAGGGAGTGAACCCATGAGTTCAGTGGCGATCCAGCAGTGGGAGAAAGGAGAGCTCGATTGTTTACCACTTATTTACACCAACCATGATGGGGCGGAGGTGGGCGTGGCGGCGTGGACTTCACATTGTTCCCCGCACCCCCCTCAGAAAATCTCTGGATCCGCCGCTGCTACGTATATCCCAGTTTTAAAGGGATGGCTACAATTAAGCCTGTTTTTATTTATTGTCCTATATACCATAATGTAATGAATACCATAATGTAATGAATACGATTTTTGATTCAAGCAACCACTAGTTGTACAGTAGTAAAGAATAGGTTAGGCCTAGACGTACTAGATCTGGTCGTGGCTTGACAGCTCAGCGCGAGAGATCCGATGTTGTGTGCATGTATCGGTTCTCAAAATTATGCCTTCTATTTTACCAAATTTACGCGTGCATAAACTGTAGTATGGCTCGATTTTGATAAAAATACATGTCTGTTTTAGATTTTATGTTCTAAATGTTAATTTCGGAGGTCGTATTTCTCAAATTTGTACTTGAACAAAATAAAAAAAAAAAAAAAAATGCCGACCCAATTTTTTGTAAAATTTTGGTCGGTTGCAGAGGGCAACACAACTTTTTTTTTTTTGGCCAAAAGTAATTGCTTCTAACCTCTTTGACTGTATTCAGCTGAAAATCAATGTGTCGTATTGCATGGTTATTTGTGTCAGCAACGAAAAGTCCACTTCCATCAGGAGTCACACATAATCCTCCTGGTTCATTGAATTCTACCTCTTCAAAAATAGAACAGTCTTTTTTGCCAGGTTTTCCATTACCAGCCAGTGTCACACAGGTCTTGGCTAGTGGATCAACCATTTTAATCTAGAGGGAGAAAAACAATGTACAATGTACAATTTGGATACAAATCTTACTGCTGTTAAAAGCGATCTCCTGTTACTTCACACATTAATTACACATTAATCAATATTCTTCTATTACAGGCCCTACACTAAGTATTGATGGCTATAATCCGAACCTTAATGTCATGGGGTTTTTTTTCACAATTCTAATCCTCTTGTTAATGTTTTATGTTGATTTTTTGTTTTGTTTCTTGTTCTGTGCATGAAACACATAGACCACTGTTCTGTACTGTAGTTTGTGCTTTAGAATGTCCATTATCATTACCTTAAAGACCTAAATTAAAAAACATTAGCAATCAATGGTTTTTTGATTCCCTCTATTGGGGAGACCTACTGGTTTTTAACATTGAGTCATTCCATATGAATCCAACACACTTTCTTGTTCCGCCCTTTTTCTGGAGGTTCTCTCTCGCTCAATTTTCTTATTTATACCCTAGTGATGCTAAATCAGCAGTGAAACCTTGGTCCCAGAAAAATGGTCACGGGGCCCCTGATTTTTACTATACTAGGGTGGAAGTTTCAATAGAATCTATCAGCAGATTTCCTGGAAACTCAGTGAAACTATCAGAGCTAATATATTTCATTTGCCCACAATGAAACTTTAGGGGCATCATGTGGGCTAAGTGTCCTAACTGAGGTGTGAATTTTCCAAAAATCGAGATATATACTTTTGTGATATTTTGGGTCAAAGGTCAAGGTCACGTGACTTGACCTATATAATTCTCACTAGTCCGGACATCATCGAGTTGCATATCATTGAAAAGAGAATCTTCTTCTCTATCCAACGATACCAGAATTTCTCCAATACGTTGAGTTTCAAGAGAGATATCAGCAGTTGTCTGTCAGAAGGTGAGTTTTTTATCCAAATCTCATAAAAATTTCAAATTGCTCTAGCTCATCAGAAAATGCTGGCGCGGAGCCAAAAATTTCACTGTGGGGTTATCTCAGGTAGAACCCCAAACATGCAAAATATTGGGCGATTTGAAGGGGGTCGGGCAAAAAAGTGTGTTGGATTCATATGGAATTACGACCTATGTAATGTGAAAGGTCAAGGCAAAAATTATATAGCACATTAATGTTCTACATCCTCTGAAAGTTAAGTAGTTATGTTTCTACATAATTTCATGCACAAATTTATGACTATAATGTAGGGACACAAACCTTGTGGTTGTAGGAATCAGCAACATACAGTTTCTGATCAGCTTGGTTCCATGCCACTCCTAATGGGTGCTGCAACTTTGCATCTACTCCCTTGCCATCCACATCCCCATAAGCAAACAGATTCTAAAGAAAATTTAACATGAAAGTTGAAAAAAATATATATTAGTAAGCATTTCTTCGATTAGGAAAAAAAACAAAAACTTTTGGAACAAACAAATGAAACAATAGGTTTTCTCAATATAGTGAATAACATGTTCATATCGAAGTATTTCTCCATACCAAACTTAATATTATAATTAAGGCAAGACTTTTTTATACCTTGCTTTCGGAACCCAATAATGATTTTGAATAAAAATATAATTTTATTTTTTGCCTGTTACTGATTCTCATATGCTTTGCCCCACTGCATGGCCACTGTTTAAAATAATTTAAATCATTACCATAGGATCGCGTTCACCACCAACAACACCTTTTGTTGCACCGTCTTTTAATGCTACACTGCGTACACTGCTACTCTCACTGTCAGCTACAAACAAACTGTTTATCTTTTCATCTCTAGCCAGCGAGATTCCTGAGGGTTGGGCAAAACCAGCTTTGTGGGGATAAGAGTTGTTGCGATTTTCTTCTTGTCCACTTCCGGCAAATCTTGCACACATTCCTTTTTTGTAAGTACTATACAAGAAAATTAGAATTCGTTATTTTTAGTATTTAACAATATATTATT